CTGCCCCTTGTGATATTTTACCCGTGATGGTTAGTTTGATTCCTTTTCTGGACAGCTCCCTGCTTTCCTGCTTATCCCTCTCTGAGATTGTAACTTGCTTATCTCCTTGGGAGAATTACCTTCTCTGAAAGGACAGAAGAAAAAATCTCTGAATATACATATATAAGAGGGATTTGATCTTCAGTTCTTCAGAATCAACTTGATGTCATGAACCCTTCAATCACTTCTTCTATGACAGTCGCCATTGCTGACTTTCTTTATCCCAGAGGTTGCCATTGCTGACTTTTTTATCCCAGAGGTTGCCACGTGGGATTGTTCCTACTTCTGGGCTCCCTCTTCCTATTTTGGGACTGTGAGGCCCAAATCAGCTTTGTTTGCTCTGATGAGCCTTGGGCTGGGCTCTTCTGGTTTTTTGGGCTTCCATCTTTTCGCTGGGCTGGGTGTGTCAATTTTTGGCCCAAACAGATGATAATTTAATTTAATTCGATTTTGACAAAAATCATAGAGAAACAGAACCAATCGCGATTGAACACAATTGAATCATTATTTCCTTGCACCATTAAAGCTCGATGGTCCAAAGCAACCGTCAACCATGTATTTAATTTGTCCACATTGAAGCCAAAGCAAACCGCTCATTTAATTATTCATAACAATTTTCACACACAAAATACAAATTACAATGAAAAGTTGTTCCAGTCTACAACATATCGATCATTTGATTTTACAATTTTAATATATTAATATATTATATACTGAAGAATATATAGATGGCCTCAAATTCTCAATTTCAACCAGAGATTTCAATGGCTTTGGCATCAGGCTTCTTCATCTCTGTCTTGGGAACAGTAACACCCAGAACCCCATTCTCCATTGCAGCCTTAATCTCATTTACCTTGGCATTCTCAGGAAGCTGAAACCTCCTCAAGAACTTGCCGCTGCTGCGCTCCACCATGTGCCACTTGTCGTTCTTGTCATCCTTCTCTCCACTGATCTGAAGCACCCTGTCGTCTTCAACCTCCACCTTCACCTCTTCCGTCTTCATCCCCGGAATGTCAGCCTTGAACACATGAGCTTCTGGGGTCTCCTTCCAGTCTATTCTAGTGTTCAGAAAAGCAGAATTTTCCCGGGAAAATTCAGGGAATGTAGAGAGTGATGAGGAGGAAGGGAATTGGAAATCCTTGAAGGGGTCCCAGAGATCAAGAGCGAAAGGGTCGAAAATGCTGCTTCGTCGGAAGTTGGGGATGATCGACATGGTGAAAAACTGATGGGTTTTGTTTGGGAATTCGAGTTGTTAGGGAATTACTGCTTTGCTTGACTGGTTGAGAGAGCGGAGAATTGATTGCGTATTTATACGGGGCCAGAGAGTTTTCGAGGATAGAGTAGACTGGGCCGTTAGAACGTTATATATGATTTTCTTCTCGAACTTTCTAAGATTCTCAAGCATCTGTCTGCTGTGGGCTCGTAACAGATCTATCATATCGTGTTCATTGTTGTTAGACCATGTCCAACCCAAATGCGTATAAACTCAAATTTCCCCCATTCAAAATATAACTATTTATGTATTGTCTAGATTTGAACTTTTTTTTATTCTAACCAACTTAAATGGAGCTAAACCCAAATTTCCCCTCTTCAAAATACAACTATTCATGTATTACCCGGATTCAAGCAGTTTTTTCTTCCAATCTTGCAGGACTCAAAATTTAAGTCCGTAACTTTATTAATTATTTAAGAATTATTTAACTCTAAAATTATTTTGTGTTTAGTTTTTCTTAAGTTAATTTTGGTTTATACCATCGTGAATTATTTTTCTGAATATTTTAACATAAAAAAAATCTAATTCATAAATGATAAAGGACAAAAACACATACTAGGAACAAAAAAGTGTGTATTTACGTACTTTAGGATAATTTTGAGGTTAGACTAGTTAATTAACATTTTGGCCGTTGGATCTTTTTATAAGGTCATCTTTTTTATAAGCCTCTCTGCACACGCTTCGGCTCATGCGAGAGGCCTTTTTTTATTCACGCGTGTTAGGGCAACTTACAAAGTTTTTTTTATAAATATTTATTTTTACAATTGTATTTTTTTAGATGTCCGTCTTCTATCACTCGACTTACAAAGTTTTTTTATATTATAAATATTTATTTTTACAATTGTATTTTTTTAGATGTCCGTCTTTTATCACTCGATTTACAAAGTTTTTTTTTTTTTTTGGCAATTGTATTTTGCTAGACGCCTGTCTCAACAATTTATACGTCAAAATTTGTTGGGATATCTTTCCCTGCGAAATGTTGTCGGGATATATCTTTACCCCGCAGTTAAGTAGGTGACATTGGTCTAATTTTCCATTTTTTATCGTTCAAAGCTTGTCCATAAATGTTCTCAAAGGCAAGTTTTTAATGGCCATATAGTGAATAAAGAGAATCTGAGATCAAGCCTATGTAAGAATTTTAAAAGGCCTTCGAATACAACTTAAAATTTGATCAAAACACACATGTTTAAGAAAATATTTTTTATCCGAACTTATATCAATCCAGCACAAGTAAGATACACTAGCTTGAATTGCTACCCTTCTTAAAATTAAAATCCTTAAACCATTTGATTATCGATATTGAAGCGGGTTTTTTTTGTGCACAAGACTCACAAGCTTATGGCATGTACTCAAAATCAATTAATCATTCTTGCAAACAAAAGGGTCCTTTCTTTCTCAGTTAATTAACAATCAAACTTACATAAGTATTGCAAAATATAAAATGAAAATACACAATATCACATTGTGATTGTCCACTATTTCACTCTTCACCATCATAGAACCAAAAACAAACAAAAAAACAAAACTAAGTGGTATGATATAATAGTAGAGACAATAATTATTGAACACAAAAGTACCAAAAACATCAACTTTCAATGCCATCAATCACCGCCATCGCCATCCATAGTTGACATGTGGGTTGCACTCATCACTACAGTTGCCGCGGCCATTGTTGAGGTTGCTGCTGCTGTAAATATGATATTGTTAGTTTCTTCTAATGTCTCATATAAAATTTCATTATCCCATAAATATGAATATAAATCATGCATAAGTGAGCAATCCATCATTTAAATGATAAAAACCGAAGTTCTTACATTGTTATTCACTATCACATTAACGATATGTTAGCAATTCCACATATTGTATGAAGTTTCTCACAAACATGGTGTGACGATGGATGAGATTTTATTTAACTATTGTAATTTTGATAACTTCGAAGTTCAAACATCAAAAGAAAAAAGAAAAACTAACTGTGAGCCCGTAATAAAATATCTCAGGCCCACTTTCTCAACAGTCCTAGAAAGTTCGAAAAAAAATATCACAAAACCGTTTTTCAAGGCCCAGTTTTTACTGGAAAGTTCTTGGGCTGCTTATAAATAAGCAACCAAATTCAATATGATTTTGTGTGATGAATGTTGCTATTAATAAAATGAGTGGTTTCTTGTAAAATTATGAATTGTACGTTTTTAATTTGAATCTAAACTTTGTGTCATGTTACAATTTAACACCTCTGATTATGAATAATGACATATGACAAGCTCGACACCCTTTTCCAAGGGCTTTCTCGTCATTTCACGTTTTTATAATTTTCTCATGGTATTTCTAACATTTATTTATTATCTAAATATAAGAATTTCATTAAGATAAGATGTTGGTTACTATCAATACAATCATTTAGCCAAACTTGACCCTCTTCCAACCAATAGAACTAACCTCGCTCTTGTAGCTCATAATGAGTCAGCATATTTGTCGTCTCATTGCAACAATGAGGTTAAAAACACATTAGTTTGAACTAGAAATTAAGTAACCTATTATGATTGGCTATTGTACCTTAAATAAGTAATTAACTTCAAATTATACCATATGAAAGAAGAATAAAATTACTTGATAAGATCATTAATTGATCTGGTCTAAAACAATTTGTTTTGGTCAGATCATTAAACATAAAAATAGATCGCGCTTGCTGCTATTTCTCTTCACTCCAACCTTTCCAAAAACAGGTTTTGGGCATTCTTGTCCAACCACCCAGCTGCCCAAGAGCTCAAGATGACTGACTTCTATGGTATTTGTAGGCGAGGGGAGGTGCACTTGAGCCTCCTTGCGCCTCTGTGGGTCCGTCACTATGTAGATGGTATTGTTAGTTTCTTCCAATGTCTCATATAAAATTACATTGTCCCATTAATATTTAAATGATGAAAAATACTTAAATTCAATATTTTCAATCCAAAAATACTTTATAAAATACCCACAATAACTCTTCAATATAATATTATTTGTCACCAAAATAAGAATATAATATTGAAAATTTCAGGTTATTACACATTTTTCTTACAAAAACATTCAAGTTGTTAAGAAAACGAAAAATAATAGAGCAATTCATCCACACACACACACTTCTCCTTTAAATGATAGAAACCAAAGATTTTCGTTGTTGTTCATGTCATGTTAACCATATGTGAGCAATTCCACATAAAAATGGTGTGACGACTGATTAGATTTTATTTAACTATTTGTAAGTTTGATAGAGTCGAAATTTATAAAAAAGAAAGTGCATTTGAGCTAATAATATCTCGGAGGCCCACTTTCTCAACAGTCCTAGAAAGTTCAAGGAAAAAAAAAAATCATAAAACCGATTTTGAAGGCCCAGTCTTTACTAAAAAAATCTTGGGCTTCTTATAAATACGCAACCAAAACCCTCCTTAATATCCAAACGTTTGAAGTTGAAGTGAAGCGGGAAATTAGATCAGTAACACTCGAATTGGATACTCAAACTTCCTCATCATCCAAACAAACCCAAGACCCCAGAGTTTTCATCAATTTACAATACAATGTCGATCATCCCAAGCTTTCGGCGAAGCAGCATTTTCCACCCCTTCAAGGATTTCCCAGTTCCTTCTTCCTCATCACTTTCCACGGGAAAATTCAGCTTTCCTGAACACCAGAATCGACTGGAAGGAGAGCCCAGAAGCCCACGTGTTCAAGGCAGACCTCCCGGGGCTGAAGAAAGAAGAGATGAAGGTGGAGGTTGATGAGGACAGGATGCTTCAGATTAGCGGAGAGAGGAACGTACAGAAGGTTTCAGCTCTCGGAGAATGCGAAGGTAGACGAGATTAAGGCTGCAATGGAGAATGGGGTTCTGAGGGTCACTGTTCCCAAGGCAGAGGTGAAAAAGGCCGATGTTAAAGCCATTGAAATTAATTGAGAATTTAAGATCATGGATGGCCTCTGCTCCATCACCGTTACCAAATTTTAAGTGATTTTCTTCTGTTGTGGCAAAACAGAGTAGTATAGCCGCGCGGCTATACTATTGTCTAAGAATTAAAAAAATTTGGAAAACCCGTGCATAGCCGTCCGGCTATATTATTTCTTTCTAAAGAAATTGGAAAGAACCGAGTATACCCGATCAGCGACAGCATTTTATATTTAAAAAACTGTAGTATAGCCGATCGGCTATACTATTTAAATACATTATATTTAAACGGTATAGCTGCGCGGCTATACTCTTTAATAAAAAAAAAAAGGGACCCTCCTAGTTGCATTAGTTTATACTTTATAGAAACCAATAACATATGTACATGTTTTATTTGTAGGTATAGCTGCGCGGCTATACTATTTAATTAAAAAAAAAAAGGGACCCTCCTAGTTGCATTAGTTTATACTTTATAGAAACCAATAACATATGTACATGTTTTATTTGGCAAATTACAACTTAAAAGTTCTGTCACTATATAATATTTTTTTTAACATATATTATTTATATTCAATAATATGTGATAATTATGTGTATAATACGTTAATTTTGTGTGTATTGAAAATTTTATAAAAAATACAAGTAGTATACATTTGCTTTTTGAAAAATGTGAATTTTACCGAGTCTTTAAGACGTGTACAAAACATGGATATATTATTGAAATATAGGTACCTACGTGTATAATACAATATTAAACGTGAAATTGCTAAATTCTTTATACGGGTAATAGCTCTAAACTACTCTTATCTATAAACAAAAAAGATTGTTCTCACCAATGCTCCTTTCACCACTCGAGTTGTCATCATCATCACCTCTTCTAAAATGTAGCGGAATGCAGAGGGGGGACGTGTGGTTGATTCCAGGCTGTTGCAAGAAATATTCTATTCTTCCATTAGGCAAAAACAGAGGCATCATTGCCATGCCAGCCAGAGTTGGCCTCCTGACAAAGATCAATGATTAGTATTCTCAAAGAAAACTAAGTTCGGCTATTAAGTACTTCAAATGAAACGTAAACTGAGATTGCAAGACAATTGAAAAAGTTTATAAGACAATATGGAGTTGAATAAATATTGTTACCTTTTATTCATTCAATTCACGTTTATCTAGTGCAAAAGACTTATAACTCAAGTGATTAATAATATTTATAAAATTAAGAATAGCATTATGTGGAACCTGAATGCTAGTCGAACTCGTCTAGAGCGAGTTTGATCGTAGAAGTTCTCTAAAAAGCTTTGCAGGTGGATAAAACCAATAAAGAAGTGTAAGGGTCTCATCTTTTTCCTTCTTTTGACAAAGAGCAATATATGCACCATTAGCCTGACATTATAGTTAATGTAATATTAGGTTACTGTAATTTCAAACACAACCCAAGTTATAATTGAAGTTAATGTAATATGTTGAATAATTATCTCAAATTAAAAAGAAATAGAATAAATAAAACTTACTTGAAATTGTTAGTTTCTCCCAATATCTCATGTAAATTTACTTTGTTCATGGATATGAACATTAAAAAAAAGAAAAAAAGAATATGGGAGTTAAATAATATTCATTCTCTCACAAAAATATTCTTGCTATCAAGAAAACATAAGACAATAATGATATCCATCTTTGCACTTTCCTAAAATGATATAACTCAGAGTCTCTTCATTGTTGTTAACTATCATGTTACAATATGTATGCAAGTACACATATTGTGAGAAGTTTCACAGATTTGGTATGATTAATGATGAAATTTTATTCATGTCAAATGCGTAGTGAAAAATATGGAAAAGCTAGTGCAATCTTAAGGGTTTGTTTGATATTCAACTTGAATCCAAGTTTTGGAGCGAACCTTAGCCCTGGGTTTAGTCTAATTTGGTAAGGCTTTTGTTTCCTATTCCTCGTAAACTTGTAACCCAAGTTCTATGAGCTGTAAATAGGACTTTTAAGGTTAGATTAAGTAAGAGAGAGATAGAGAGAGAGAGAGAGAGTGAGTTTGAGCGAGAGTGTATGAGAAATAGAGAGCTAAATGGGTTTTTTTTTTTTTTTTTTTCCGAAAGAAGATCTCATTGATAACAATTAAGAGGATACAACCATGTCATCATTTACAATTGATTCCAGCCAAAGTGGAACCTCTTCAATCCAAGTTACCATAGTATTACAATTAAGAGCATGCCTTGCTAGAAAATGGGCTACTTGGTTACCCCCTCTTGGACTAAAAGAGATAATAACATCTTCAAATTGTTGCAGACTCCTCTTAATAATATCATCAATAAGATGCCCAAGACTCTTCCTCATCCTTCTTTACATCATTTACCACCCCTTGTGAATCAGACTCAATTAAAATAGAAGAAAAGTCAGCATCTCGGGCAAATTTCATCCCGAAAAGAAGCGCCATGATCTCTGCATGTTTAGATGAGGTGGCATTGGCAAGAGGAAGGGCCATAGCTGCCATCACTTCCCCTTTGTCATTTCTAACAACATCACCAATTCCACCCACACCTGTTTCGGGAATAAAAGCAGCATCAACATTCAGTTTATATTTACCAACTGGAGGAGGAGGAGACCATTTGGTTTGTTTCTCTATAATTAATTTAGGTTCCCCTTCCACAAGACTTCCATATTCACCAGCCAAATAATGGACTCTGTTAAAGATCACATCTTGTGCACAAGAACGTCCTTCCATAACAGCTTTATTTCTGTTTTGCCATAAACTCCAGCAGAAATTTTAATAAGACGAAAAGAGAAGAACAATAAGAGAGTGGACAAGAAAAATCCGAAACCGAGCCACAATATCAATAAAAACTCAACGCTTCTGAGTCAAATATTACACTACATATTTTACATAATAAATTGAAATTCAACATATTACATAAATGGCTCCCTCAGTGCTTATTACAACTCTAAATTTATTCACATACAACACACTGAAAACTAAACACACCACGACTGTAAATGAAGCATCTTTCTTTAACCTTGGTTACCCTGCATTCGATTCTTGTCACCTCGAGGATTAGCCCATCTGCCATCAAAACATATTAAAAAAACAATGCAAATTAATAGATTAAAGAGATATTTAATGATATACCTATTTCTTGCACTAATATTATAAATAAACCCTACACAATTGAAACCTTATCGAGTCAAAAGACAGATCAAACTGCTTTAGTTTCTCCACGTAATTTTCTTCTTATGAGCTTCAAGATCTCAGATATCTGCAAAGCACAACAAAAGTTGAATCAATACATGGATGATTTTGTCTGTACATCAAGCATTCACGACACTAGGTTGTGTGTGTTGTGTTTTTGGCTTACCATAGGTAACGTTGTATGTCCTGACTTGTTTTGGACGTGGTTGACGTGTTCCAACCTTTTTGTGTGTGGGATTTCTAGCCTAATCTAATAGGGTTTATGTTTCCTATTCTTAAGTAGACTTGTAACCTAAGTCCAATAAGCTATAAATAGGACTTTTGGGGTTAGGTTAAAGGTATAATCTAGGAAACAAGGGGCATCAAATTGGGTTTGAGCCAAAATGGTAAGAGGTAAATAGAGAGCTGGGGTTTGAGAGAATAGAGAGCTAATAGGCTTTTCTTGTAAACCAAAGTTGTTCTTATTCTTCTAGTGAAATTTCTCAAAGTGATCATTGGAGAGGACGTAGGCACGTTACCGAAAATCTATAAATTTCTTGTGTTCCTGGTTGGTTTGTTTACTTTTGTGTGTGTGTGCGCTCAATTTCCTTCATCGTTGGTGTAGTTTGTTTTTTCGCGTAGTCCATTGATAAAAAGATCTTGTGTGTGTTCCGCATGATAGTGCACAATAGTGTGAACCAACAACCAAGTACCCATTAATAGATAAGAATGCCTTCCAACTAAATCCCAAATATATTTAACTTTGTACTAAATCCACAAATAACTAGTAACGAATCCCAACATCCTACCTATTCCCATTTTGAAAAGCGTTTTTTCCCCACATTTTTCATGTTTCAAGTTAATTTTCATTGTTTCTGTAAAATTTTACTTTATGTTTTCGCAGATTTTCTAAAATACGAACAACCGATATTTCCACCGAATCAACAATTTCATCCATGCACACAGGTACCCCGAAAATATAAAAAGTAAGGTAGAGAAAGCTTGATAAATCACCAATCAAAAGAAGAAAACAACTTACTCCAGCATAATGTTGCAATATTGGTGAATAATGATCAAGGGCCATGTATATTTTTTCAACAAGGCTCGATAGAGTGTCCACCTCCTTCCCCAAAAGATCAACCTGAAATCCAGTGAGAAATGATCCATTAAATATACCACAAAATTACACGCTTATTAAAGTCTGTAAAGAACTTCCAATCATAGCATTCTATCATCCAACAATACATCTCAAACCATCTTCTGCCGTAAGTATATGCAAGAAACTATTCAATTCCATGAGTTTCATAGCATGAAAGACAATCCGAGGCCGAAACATCAAGTTGAAATATGCATAATACCTATCTGATTTACATACCTCGGCTTCAGCTTTTTCAAGGTCAGAACATTTCCTTTCAAATCCCCGCTTGTATAGAATCTTTCTTTTTACAAGTACTTTAGCTTTTTGTTTAAGTGAATGCAATTGAGATCTCAAACTCTTCAACCTGGAAACAAAATCACAGAAATACAAAAAGGCATTAAAGGTAGAGCACAGACTTAGAGCACGAAAGACATTTACAGGTAAAGCACTTATAGGTAACAATAACTGAGCAAGTACCTTGAAGATTTTCCTGAAATATCTCGTGTTACTCTACGTTCAAACAAAGACACAGCATTCTGCTTCTCTTGGTTGACATCAAGAAGCCTCTGACCTAACTCGCAAATATATGCCTTATGAGCATTTGATTCACCCCTTAAATTTTCAAGCTCTTGAGCAGCAAATTCATATCGCTTCTTTTCCTTTTCCAAGGCAGCTGCAGCATCTTCTTCCAATCGCTCCTTTGCTTCTTCCAGAAAGATTATTTTTTGGTTCAACTTTTCTTTGCTTGCAACCTCAACTTCTAGTTGTTTTCCTTTTTCTAGATTTTCCATCTCAAAAGAAACCCGAAGTCCTTTTTCACTGGTATATGTCATGTTCAGGTTATCGAGTTTCTGCTCAGCATCCTTCAAGTCTCTGAATATAACTACAACTAGTTCTCGCATGATGATGGACTCCCTATTCAAATCTTCAATTTTACCCCTTAAATTTTCAAGCTCTTGAGCAGCTAATTCATATCGCTCCTTTTCCTTTTCCAAGGCAGCTGCTGCATCTTGTTCCATTCGCTCCTTTGCTTCTTCCAGAAAGATTATTTTTTGGTTCAACTTTTCTTTGCTTGCAACCTCAACTTCTAGTTGTTTTCCTTTTTCTAGATTTTCCATCTCAAGCGAAACCCGAAGCCCTTTTTCACTGGTATATATCATGTTCAGGTTATTGAGTTTCTGCTCGGCATCCTTCAAGGCTTCTCTGAATATAACTACAACTAGTTCTTGCATGATGATGGACTCCATATTCAAATCTTCAATTTCACCCCTTAAATTTTCAAGCTCTTGAGCAGCAAATTCATATCGCTTCTTTTCCTTTTCCAAGGCAGCTGCAGCATCTTCTTCCAATCGCTCCTTTGCTTCTTCCAGAAAGATTATTTTTTGGTTCAACTTTTCTTTGCTTGCAACCTCAACTTCTAGTTGTTTTCCTTTTTCTAGATTTTCCATCTCAAAAGAAACCCGAAGTCCTTTTTCACTGGTATATGTCATGTTCAGGTTATTGAGTTTCTGCTCAGCATCCTTCAAGGCTTCTCTGAATATAACTACAACTAGTTCTTGCATGATGATGGACTCCATATTCAAATCTTCAATTTCACCCCTTAAATTTTCAAGCTCTTGAGCAGCTAATTCATATCGCTCCTTTTCCTTTTCCAAGGCAGCTGCTGCATCTTGTTCCAATCGCTCCTTTGCTTCAGAAGATTCACCATTGTGCTCTGACATTTTCTCTGCAGCTTCAGAAACTTGTAGTGAAAGGCACTTAATTTCCCTCTTCTTATCTGTGAGCAAATCTCTGAGCTGGCCCCTTAAATTTTCAAGCTCTTGAGCAGCTAATTCATATCGCTCCTTTTCCTTTTCCAAGGCAGCTGCTGCATCTTGTTCCAATCGCTCCTTTGCTTCAGAAGATTCACCATTGTGCTCTGACATTTTCTCTGCAGCTTCAGAAACTTGCAGTGAAAGGCACTTAATTTCCCTCTTCTTATCTGTGAGCAAATCTCTGAGCTGGGCGTTTTCTGAAAGGAGTGATTCCAGTCCGTCTTTCAAACGGCTAAGACTTTCTTCATCGATACCAAATGTGGCTTTTTGCTCATTTTCGACAAGAATGTCATCTAATTTAGAAATAACCTCAGATATTCTCCTCCTCAGCATGTCAAACTCCTTATTCTTCTTTGATGGCAAAGAAGATCCCCGTTCTTTCAACAATTCCCTCATGAGGCTGAATAGTTGTTCAGTCATATCCTGCACTTTAGACTCATGATTTCTCTTCAACTCAGTCATCTCAGTATTATAATAATTTATCAATTCTTCTATTGACATATTTATTTCTGACTTATCTTGCGTGCCATTTTTTTCCCAACTAGATGCTGATGATGATGCTGATGATGTTGATGTTGGTGGTGATGTTGCTGGAGATGGAGATGATGATTTAAGATCGTTCAAAACCTCTCCCATCTTAAAATTATTACTTTCTTCATCACCTTCCAAGGATCCATGAGAAGATAGCTGCCCAAAGTCAGAAACAGAGTGATTTAGAAATGGCGTCCAATTCCTGACGTAAACCTGATATCCTCTCTTTCATCCTTCCATGCCCATTCACATTTTTATCACTATAAAACTGGTCCCAAATTTTTTCTTCGAATCTCCAAATGCAATTCCTCATCACAAATGCTTCAATTTCTGCTTTAAACTCCTGTTCCTGTTGCCACTCATGTACATCAGCCTTTGACAAGCGAACCATTTGTTCCACCCGTTGAAAGCCAGTTTCTAAAGCACTCTTTAGACAATTAGGCGTCCTATCTACACCAATCCCCCATCTGTCAGAAACTTTATCTTGCTGTGTGTCACTCAAACCCAACAACTCAGAAATTATCTTAACTGAGCTGCCTCTTATGCTATCAATTTCTGCCTCGAGCTTCTTAAACTCCTCTTTAGTTGCTCCTCTTAAGCTGCTCAAAGATTGTTCTATTCTATCGTACTCTAAAATAGCTTCAAGAGAGCTAGGATGCATCTTGTCTTTGGTACCTTGTTTAATAAGTCTGTTTGACTCCTGGCGCATTGCTAAAGACGCCAAGAATTCATTTTCAACACCCACATGGTAAACATTTAACATTTCTTTCAATTTAGTCACCTCTAGTTCTTTTTCAGCAATTTTCTCTGCTGCCTCTTGTACCATACCCTTGATGACTGTGTCACTCACCACCCTAGACACGGCCAACCGGTAACTGATATCTTGCCAATAAGAATCAAATTCCTCAACAAGGTCAACATCCCCATTATCTTCTCCTTCACATCATTGCTAAGCTGCAACCCTCCATTGCATGATTGAACACCGTTACTCATGATTTATATACTCTCCAATCACTTAGGCCCCAACAAATACCAATTTACTATGCAGACTTGTTGAACTGCAAAATTTCAGAAAGAAAAAAAAAATAAAAATTCAGAAGCTTACCGAGTGAGAATTGTAAACCATGATGAAAAAAAGAAGTCCCAATAATTCTAATATTGTAGAATCAACTAAATTTCTTGGAAGTGTGAGACAAATTATAAACGGACCTGCTTAGGACCCAACAAAAATGGAAGAAAACAAAAGAGAGAGAGCAGTATCTAAGTCATTAGAAAAAACACAGTACCTAACTCTAGTTATTTGTTTTTCCAATTTCGTTCGTTTCTACAAGGACATAAGTCAAGCAGAAGTAAACATTGTTTTTCCCCCCGAGACCAAACAGAGTGAAAAGACCATATGGGGAGAGAGAGAGAGAGAGAGAGAGAGAGAGAGAACAAGCTGA